AAGATGATCTCCTAAGTTGGACATGTCCTTCCCGCCAAACTGATTTCCATCTCAAAAGGCTGTTTGGGCGTGTCTTTGCTTGACACTTGGGGGTTGGGGGGGGGGGACGCTCGGGTCGAACCACTCCTTTTGGGGCTCTCCATTTGGAGACAAACACGTTTCGAGCAAACCGAGCAACCAAGGGGCGTGCACGTATTCGACGATGGGATGGCGCTCCACCTGGCCACAAGTCTTGTCTCACTTTGATGGCTCTGAAGCATCCTGGTGGAGTTGACGGTGGCAACGACCAATGGCTGTGTTTTCTTAGAGAGTAAGCCTTGTGGGGTTGTTTAAAGGGGAACCCGAATGGACCTCAACTCCCCCCATCTTTTGTTTTGGGGAAGAAAAGGGTCCTCCTTTTCAGGCACACCCAAATGCGGGGCATCTTTTCCAGGGTTTTCAGTTGGTTTCTATGGGCAAACCAAAGGAATAACGACACCATTTGGGGACCCAAATACCCCTGGTAGCAAGCGGCTGTGAGTTTTCCCCTCTCAATGAAATACGGCCGCGGACAAGTCTTACCGGGTTTCGCCTTCTGGTGGCTTGGAACATCACCGCTTGGACCAACTTTAAGTGAGCTTCCATTGGGCGGATCTACGGGGAAACATAGCAGGCCCTGTATTCAGAGCCTCGGTCGTACCCCAGGGCATCCATACGGTGGCCTGAGTTGACCACAAATTCATCTCGCCTACTCCACATGGTAACTTGGCCGTATCCAACCATGCCCATCATGCCGCCACACGAACTCCCGCGAGTACAAGCAGCAATAGGTAAACGTTACTCGTGTACAGTTGATGTTCAATTCTCGGGCAACGGTTGTAGCCAATCACGACTACCGCTATCCAGTGTGTCTCCTTGGTCGAGGCGCCGAAACTAACAAAATCATCAAATGCTCAGAAACTTGGAAACATGCCTGCAACCTGCGGCCACAAACTTCCCGACTTGGGAGTGAGGCTCCGGCAAAAGCTCGATACGTTCGGGCCATCAAGTTATCACAGCACAGCCTCTTCGTCGAGTGAAGAGACCAAATTTGATTCCACCCCACCCGCCACGGACACCAGAAGCTGGAGGGTCCCTGTGCCTTCTGCCACAGCTCGAAGGGGTCGCTCTTGGGCAAGGCTTTGACCGCATCCAGCCACGTGCCACCTCCAGGCAGTGGTGAGACTATCTAAGCTAGGTCCTCCAGTAGAGAGATTAGAATAAGGGTACCCTTTTTTCTGTAGTCTATTTTACTAGGGGAACCCTCCCCCAAAAAAGGGTACAAGGGCACCACCGGGGGACCTAGTAAGCTTTGGAGCCTTGCCAGGGTCTACGCAGAAACGGGACCGGAAGCTCCGGATCACGCAGACGAAGGCAAACCGTCTGGTTTCGCCGCTATTGCCATTTCAAAAGGATACTCTTACAGGTGCCGACTTTGGACAAAAGCCAAATTGCGCAGCACTTGTTCTGAAGCCTTGGTAGCATGAGAAAGCCAAACCATGGCTGGTATTACATCATGGTTCTGTGTTGAATAGCTCGGCGTCTCAAGGATACAAACATCCCAGTCAAGCCAGCATTCCAATCGTGAAAAAGGGGCGCAAGGGAGCCGAGCACCTCGTTGCAATGGCCAACAGGACCTAGGAAGAGACGCACCAGTCGCAGTGATTGATGCGAGCTTGTAAATATGAGATATATTCGGAGCTGCAGACAACAGGGGAATGCTTGGTTTCGGGGTCAAGCTGCGCTCTTGCATGTTGAACCGCACCACACCGCACCTATGCGTGCAGGACAAGTCAGTCAACTTCCATGTGCAAAGGTTCAAACTGTGAGCTTCCATGTGAAGCAGTACTTCTTCTCTGCACCCTCTCAAGGGCGGTTGAAGGAAATACCCAGAGAATCCACTCAATTCAGAGGATCAATTTCTTGCTTAACTATCTAAATCGATATGGCTCAAGTGGAGTCAACTCCACTTGAGCCATATCGATTTAGATATTGCAGTGACAATTCAAAGCCTTGGATAGCATCCAGCGCTGAGGGTTGACGTAAACTGGGAAAGCCATATCCAATTTGGAGACAACACCATTCAGAAACCCAGACCTCCAGTGACCTTCTTGGTAGTTGAATCAAAACTGCAGCCCCCGCCCGAGCAAGTGGAGAAAGAGGGAAATGCCCCCACGAGTCTGGGGAAACCTCTGAAGGCCTGGGGGACTTTTTGGTCATTTTCCATTTCAGGAAACAACTCCCTTTCGAAGCCTCGGAAAACGAACCGGATTTTTTGGTCATGTTCCATTTCAACTCCATTTCGAAGCCGCGGAAGACGTTTGTGGCTGCGCGAACCGGCCTTCGGAGAGTCCGCAGCGCTCTGCCAAGTCTTTGGGCAGTTCAAAGCTCGCCTCGCAGAACAGGGGGTCGGAATGCTTGGTCACGGGGGACACTCCGGGTGGGCTCGACCAAAATGCGGTGATTTCTTGATTTGGGTCCGTCTTTTTTGAGGGTGCCTTTTTTGGTGGTGTTAAAGGGAAACCATGTTGTTGGGGGGTCCCCAAACCCACATCCATGTGTTGTTTCAAAAACATTGACTTGGCACCAAGGGCTCGCTGGTCGGCGTCGGGTTCTGAAGCAAATCGTCCCCAGTCACTGACCCACTCCAAATTCCTGGGTCATTCAGCACTACGTCCCATGTTGATCCATGTCACAGGTTAAGCTTTGATTGAAACACAGGGATCCTTACATTATACACCTGTATTGTAAATGGTGGTGTCGCTTTGTTTGGGTGGACAAAGCCATGTTTCAAATGGTTGCAAAATGTAGAAACATTCCTCGCCAAACCGAGCGCCGGTTTGTCCAAGCGTCCAAGACCTCCTCCGTCTTCTCGGGTGAGTAGCCTCAGCCGGCCGCAAGACTAGACGAGCTGACTCGTCAGCTCAGAGCAGTACGTCGCGGAATGACATGCATACAGTCGCAATTTCATTTTCCACACAAATGGGTTAGCGTATAGCAATTCCATACAGTCACAATCTCAATTTCAACACTAGCGTATAGAAATTCCTCTTGAATGATGGTAGTCACATTTCATTTTCAACACAAATGGGTTAGCACATAGCAATTCCTCTTGAATGATGGTAGACTGTGGGACAAAGAAGGGGCCTTGTGTGCAAGTGTTGCAAGACGGTCAAACAGCAATCTATGTCCGCCGCTGCATTTCTCCGAAACCTAGACTTTTTTTGGCGCACATGCACAAACAACCTTGAAGCCCAAGTTCTAAATGTTCATCCTACCCCGATCCAAAAAATGGATAAGAAAACAAGGATCTCAGGAGCTACAGTATGCTTTCGCACAAACACAGCTTTCGCACAAACACACTGAACATCTGAATCTGCTCCAAGCCCACCCCATCAAGGGTCCAAACACTGTTTTGTCGCTTTTCCGGGAATTGGCTTGCCAGAAAACACTCGTGTTTAGAACGTCTTCATACACACGTTCCAGTAAGGCGCTCCAAACCAGAACTTGTAGCTGCCTAGGTTGCGAGGATTGATGCAAAGGACTCATCCTGCAAAAGCTTTGCTTTCCAGCCTTGGCTCAGTGGCCTAGGGGTGCCCATACACTTGAGCTGCGGCAACCCAGATCGTGACGTGAAACAAATTAATGGTGCCGCTTATCTCGGATTAGGGGCAGCCGTTAATCCTTTTGTTACGGGATTGCCTCGAAGCCTGTCCTTTAAATATGGCAAGAATCAGTGGTGGCTATTGCATCGTTGCTGCGAAGCAACGCTGTTGTACAAATCAGGAGCAGTCAGTCAGGAGCAAGCACGTGCTTCAGCATAGGTCTGGCATCGTATGCACGGTGGGCTCTAAGCCAGTTGCAGTGAACTTCTGCCTCTCACATGCGAGGTTCGCGGATGCTTGGGTCTCCTTCCAGAGCTCCGGGGTTTGTGGGTTCCAAGCAAGGGCAAGCTTGCCACATCTAGAGATAGAAGCCCAGCTTGGAAAGTTTCAAGACCAACCCATAGACGGGTGTGAACAAAATAGGAACCCAACATGGGTTGCCCTGGTAGATGGCAACGAGGACAAACCATCTGCAGTCCAATTCCTGGTTTCATTTTGAGACCCATACCCATTGGAGTTTGAAGACTCCAGGTAGCCTCCGATGAACCGAGGGGCTGCCCAGCAGCTGCCACTTCCTCCGCACTGCCCACACCTTCTCGCGGAGCATCTGCCGGGCAGTCCTGACGAACGGCTCACGAAGACGACGAGGGGGGATTCGCGGACATAGGCCTCACTTGGCGAGTGACCAGCCCAAAAGAAGTGTACACTTTTTGGGCCACCACTAAAATCACGGGAAAGCCACCAAGGAAAAAAGTGTAAAGTGTGTCCACTTCCCCATTCTTTCCATCCTTCTACAAAACCAAAAAGGTCTGGGGAAACAGCTGGTTTTTGAAAAGAACATAGGCGGCTTCCCTAAGAGGCTCTAGAAGGGTACCCTCAACAAGCCACCCCTGCCAACTCCCGTTCCACACCTTTTGTTTCGAGGGACCTGTTTGTGGAACAGCTGCCACTTCTTATTTCGGTACCAAAAGGTGCCCTTAAAATTGAGGCCCTCAATGTGGGTGGATTTCAGCGCATGTTTTCACCTTTTACTCAGCTCCAACCTGGGGTCTTCAGGTTTTTCTGACCTTCACAGGTTGCACACCAAATCGAGCGAGGTCACGTCCGGCCCGAAAAACATCATAATCCAACCTTTGGGTTTCAGACCCCGAAAGTGACACAGATTGACCCACAAAGAAGATTCATGACTCGTGGCACGGAAAATTGCATGGTAATCATGATAATCGTGGTAACTTGGACATTTGGTAGTGTCAGTAACCCACATGTCCTAATCATGAAGAATCATTCTCCAAGATTTCCTGGCAGTTCTGGTCTTTGACTTGTTGTTCCTAAATCTGGATGGTTTCTTCGTGAAGTCGCCTGAAACTACAAACTTTCGCACGTGAGGTTTCAGAATTGGTCCCATTTTATGTTTAACCCGCCCAGAATTACCCGCAAAACCCCGCAAATTGAGCATGTGTGCTTTTTTGGAGGCAGGATTCCATAAAACGACTTATGTCTGGGCGGCTACTGGCAGCTTACGATCATGTCCCATGTGCGCGAACTGGGACACGGGCTGCTTTGGGAGACAGCGAGCATCAATGTTGCTTTAATATGTTTTAAGTGGGAACATTCAGAAACTAGGCATGTTCAGCTATCCAACTTCAAAAAAATGGAAGACTCTTCCCTGGGAACCGGAAGGACACCCGCTTGCCCCCGGTAGACGAGCTTCTTTTCCGTTCTTTTCAAGGTAGCCATCCTCCGTCTTTCCTTGGGAGCTGTTTCACACGTACACCCAAAGGACTAAAGTCTTATAGGTCGACCGCCCCTTTGTTTGGGTCTTGATAGCTTGGTGCCTTTGATCAGGGCAAAACAAGACACCAAGCCATGCGCACGGTCAGGTTTCGGGAGATCTGATTCAGCCAAAGACAACTTTGTTGCCGAAATCCCGAACTTTTCTGGTTGACCCGTCCGGGGGTTGCTACCGAAAGCCAAAGGAGAACTCTGGTTGATTCATTCCTCTTACTCCTTCGGGGTTGCCTCAGCGGCAAGGAACACACCCATTGAGCGAGCCAATGCCATGGACACTCAGTCTATAGGACTTGCAGGAGGGGTCATTCATTGCTTCTCCGCCTGGACAAAAATAAGAAAACCTCTTTCCAGTGATAGATTCCCCCAAAAAGCCAACCGGGAAAATAGACTTCATTTCAGCAATGGAAGGGTCCTCTGAGACACTTCCCCGTGATTTCCGGCCGCAACTCTACGGTTAGAGTCCTGCGCTCTGCTTCCATGAAGGCGACACCTCCTGGCAAAAAAATGAACCGGAGGGGTGGGGGGTCAGTTGATACCAACTCGTTCTGCCGACACATCAACTGTCCGTTTTTCCTGCTTAAGGTTTTTATTTGGGGAGTGTTATTGATTGAATAGAGCGTGGCTAACTTGAATTGCAACTACAGTAGTACTACACATATCGATTATGGAAAATCTCAAAGCAACTCTCTGTGTTGTTCATTTCCAGTTCCCGCATTCCCAAGTTGGGTTACACCCGCCTTGAGGAGACAATCACTTCTCAAACTGTGAAGGCATCGAATCAAGGAACTTCTTGAGTTTGTCTCCAATGGGGAACCCAAGAGTAATTGGGTTCGTTTTGGCTGCCTTTTGACAGCCTCAACATGTGCGACCCGACAAGAAAAACATGCCCAAGCTACGAATCGTTGGTTAGCTCGGTCAAACCAAACAACTGGGTCCATTGTGACATCCTCGCAAATTGATCTCATGCGTTCTTCCAGGGACTGCCCCTTTCAAGTACTTAATCAAAGAAGGACCCCTCTACATGGGCATGTGTCAGTTTTAACAGCAAAGGGAACCCTCAAAAACACGCATCCCCCGAAAATTTACGGGTTCCTTTGTTGCTTCGGGCAGATGCTTTTTGGTTGCCAGCGAAGAGCCCCGCCTGCCAGCACCAGGATCCGGGCCGCTTTCATGAGCCAGACTCAAATACGCGAAGCACCGGAAACGAGTTTTGTTTTTTTCTTTGGGGGGGGGCAGTCACAGAGTTCTTTTTTTGGGGGGGGAGTCACATGGGCCTCTTTACCGGGTTTACGGCAATCACAAGCGTAACCTTAACGAGGAGACTCGGAACTCTTGAGTGTTCCAAGTTTACCCGAAAGCAACACCTGTCTGCCTTTTGGGGTTCTCTACTTAATGGCAAAGTGGCTTTTTGCTTTGGGGTCCTAAAGGTTGGCTGAGGGCTAATTCGAGGTCGCTAACCACTGGCCTTTTTCTTGTGCTAATCTTAGGTTGGCTCCTGTGTGTGAAGCTTAGGTGAGCGTGCCCCATGCCATCCTCGATGTTCACCAACCCTGAAAACTATGGGGACACTTCCCATGTCTATTGAACCCCCGATACTTTTGGATTGCAGTAGTGTAAGGGAGCTAAAAATAACTCTAACAGGGCATCTGTGGAAAGGTACCTGGAAGACCAAATTCCCTGTGACCCCCTGTCAGGTGCCATGGCAACGTGAGGGAGGGACGGAGGAGGGGAGGGGGGGAGTAGAGGTCGTTTATGTGGTCCCTGGATCTATTCCGGAGAGAGTCCAATATGCCAATATGGATGATTGGAGGATGGATCTTTTCTGGTGGATTGTATTGTTGTATAATCCTGTAAGCGGCCTGCGAAGGTTCCTTTGTCACGCAATCATGAGTATCGCTATGGTACAGAAGGGCCTTGAGCCAAATGGTTGCGGGCGATCAACACTGGTCAAAAACAGACACAAAAACAGACACAAATTTCTTTTGATCGCCGGCACTAGATATGAAATATCTTTGGCTTCTTGGCCTTTGGCCGTAGCCTTGATTTATGCCGTAGCCGTGTGTATATTACTTGTCCCAGACAATGGATATATCTTGTCAATTGAAATACTGGATTCATCCTGTTTTCTGCGCGGATGAAATGTCTTGATTTGCAAAATGGAAAGCAGTCTGTATTGATTCTGTGAGATACCTAGATGCATCTAAAAGATGATGTGCAACGCTATGTACATGCGGGACGGATGTGAAACTATTCATCTCTCACTGAATAGTCTTGTTGGCGGTGAGGATCAATTCGATTGAAATTCGTAGTGCCGATTTCGGGTGTTCTCTCAGTCGAGCTTCAGAAAAACTTCTTTCCTTGGCGGATCACTCAAACCGAAGCAGGTCGAATGGATGCCAGAGGTGGCAGCTTCATCAGATAGTCCACGGTTCCACCGATAGCTGCTGTCGGATTGGCTGCCGTAGTCTCCGTAGTCGTGCCAGGTCGAGTCGCTGTAGTCCTTCCACTGCTTCTGATTGCCCCGCTGCTGCTTGTTGTACTCCTATACTCTTGCTGAGTCCAGGACTGCTTCCTGAAGTACTCCTTGGATCGCTCAAAGTTTCGCTGCTTGGTGGCAGATCTGCTGCGGATGTAGACCATCAGCGGACTGGGTGAATCGGAATCTTGAGAGCCATTCATGAACATCTCGTTGTTCACGCGCTTGAAACGTTCCGCGCGTGAGACCTGATAGTCGAAAATGGCAGTCGTAGGATCGTTCCGCATGGTGTCCAGTTGATCATCTTTCATTGCGTCCATCTCTTCCTTCCGGAAATCCTGCTGGATGTTTGTCTTGCCCCATCCAAATACGAAAGTCATCATGACATCTGGGAATGTTCGATCAAACCCGGATCCAGTCTTCATGTAGAGGTGATGACGGACGATGGATTTCAGGGCGCAGGAAGTCTCCATTGCATGTTCCATTCTGTCCACAAGTGGCAAGTTCTCCGTTTCATTCCACAATCTTTGGTATGCCTTCATGAGGATATTCATGAGACCGTTGGCCGGATTGTAGACCTGTTGGAGTTTGCTGTAGGTGTTCGCGGACTTGTTGGCGTCTCCGGTGATCGCATCGCATTGACACAATGTCACGAGCGGCATGGTTTCGGTTTGAAAATCGTCCCGTGCTGCTCCATGGCTGATTGATGGATGGGTGTGAAAAACTCCAATGGTAGCATATGGGAGGTCTGCCCTCGTCACACGGCGGCTGTCGAATTCATTCCTCGAATTATCATTGGATGACTTTGCAAACACGCCGCGAAATTCATCACTTTGCTTGATGTGGGTGACGACAATTTCCTTGTTGCGCCCATGTCCTTGGACAAGTGTGCGTGGCGGCAACCTCGGTCCAATGTGTTTCGTTCATTCCCTGAACATGCATGTTCCTGTGGTTGCCAGGCAGTCATAGGTCGGGATGTTGTGTTCGGCATCAGTGCAATGGTTCTCGGTTCCGAGGAAACATCTGAACATACCGAATGTAGTTCCCCAGTTCTGACTCTTTGTGGAAATGTGTCGTGCCAATAGTTCCACTCTTGCGGAAGGTACAAAGCATGCGATTGGTTTGGATGACCATTGCTTGATAACTATGCCCTTGTATCCAAACCGGACGAACGTCTTGATGAGATCCTTGGATTTCTCATCTTGAAAACTGAGGAATGCGTCTGCTTCATTTAGGCCTGTGATGCGCGCGCTGTTCTGCATCATCATCCTCGCGATTGGTCGATCCTTCATCGCCATGTTATTCACCTCCTTGTTGTCCAGCTTTGGGTTCCTCGTAAGGTTTCCGTGGTTCATGGTGAGCGTGTTGATCGTCATGGATGAGGTGAACTCATGCGCCTTGAGATGGTCCACAGAAAGACGGTCAGTTGGTTGCATCAGGGATCCCAGGATGTCAGCAAATGCCTGGATGACCTTTGGTTTGTCATATGTCCTGAGCTTCTTCAATCCAAATGGAAGCTTGATCGGATATCCTGATGCTGGCTGCGCCTTCCTTTCCGGAACTCTTCCATGGATGGCCATTCTCCGAGGTGGTGGAAATAGAATTCTTCTTCCTCGACGTTGACATCTGCATCGACACACGCCAATGAAGCTCGCTCGCATTCGGGGATGAGCTCTCTGTGGACCCCTGTCGTACTTCTCCATGAAGCGCTTTTGGTCATGTCCATTTCAAGGTATGTCACCTTGAAATCCTTGATGAACTCTTCTAGGTTCTCGGGATTGTGATACTCTATGGTGGCCTTGTGGACGCGCACTCTCCCCGAAGGGTTTGACTGGGATTTCCCAGATTTGAGCCCGTTCTCCATGATGCTGATCAGCTGATCTCCATATATATATGTTGCATGGAACATGAACGTGATGGGCTTCTTCGCGAACGGCTTGATCTTTCTCTCTTCTTCAATGGATGGTGGTGCCGGCCTTCGCGTTCTGGATTTTGCCTGGGCTGCGCCTTCATCTTCTTGACGAGGTTCACGCTTCTGTCCAGGCCAAAGGGGCGTCCAAAGTATTGGAGATCGACTTGTCGAGTATGACCGCTGTTGCGTCTCACGTAGAAGTCCATCTCTGGATCATTGAGGAATCCTCTGCCATCAGGCCTGAGTGCATCATATGCGGATCTGGATGTGAGGTTGTCGATCCATCGATTCCTTGATGGATACACAAAAGCAATCTCGAAACGTGCCTTTCCATAATCCGGGAACATGAAGTTCCTCGCATGCGTAATGCATCCCAACGCATCGTAGAGCTCAACGGATCCGTCAGGATTCATTTCCACTTGTCGTCGGCATTCTTTGTGGGTGCCCTGATTTGGATCATCCGGAAAACAATCTGCTCAATCACTCGATTCGCCAGAGGATGAGGTCGGTGATCTGCTTTGCCTTGGATGGATCCATGTGGAAATAGCTGCAAACCTGCTCAACATTCTGGACGGTCCTGTCAAGATCAATCATGCGGTTGTGGCATACCATCGGGATGATGTCGGTTCCGAAGTCTTCCGGCTGAGCATTGGTATAGCAGCAGACACTGTAGACCTTCCATGTGTTGTCTCTCTGCATATTGGCCTTCACCTTGGAGTGTTGGCTGCCAGTAATCATTGAATCTGGCTCTCAGCCAGAATACCCTGGCTCCAGGTTCTCGTTCATGCTCAGGAATGAAGTGGAAGTCCGGATACGAGTCGAGGATGGGCACTCCCTGTAGTATTCGGCCACGAAGGTGAGGAATCGAGAATTCCAGAAAGGTCCTGGGTACGGATATCCTCTGGAGGTAGATGCCGCTATCTGATTCTTCGGATGTACACCACCGATCGTTGGATGTGAGAGCAGGTCGTTCACCAGGATTGTTGTCGGATTCTGTCTCCTCATCCAATGTATTCTTTGGTGCTGGCCTAGCCTTTGACACAAGCCTCAATGTCGGTGGTGGTGACTTCGGAACCAGTTTCGGATGCGGCATCGCCTTCAGCTTCGGATTTCCTGCGGGAGGTTGCTCTTCTTCATCCGGATCATCATCGTAGTCGGTATCTCGATCATAATCTGCCTGCTCTATGTTGACATTATCTGGCTGTTGAGAGGCGGATGGATTCTCGCTCCATGTGGGGCAGTTCATCTTCCTCGTCGCGAGCAGGGGATTCCTTCAAAGGAGACGCACGTCTCTTCACTAGCGGCTTCGGCGAAGGAGCCGCAGTGCCGGATCGTCCAAAGATAGTTTTGAGAATCGGCATGTCTTCGAGGCGATCAAGCATACACGATTGCAAAGGTCGGAATTGTTGTAAACCAAGTGGCTGCGGATGCAGACACATATTTCTTGAGATTCAAAATGGGTCAAGTGCAAAAAACCCGCGTCACGGATTTGAGGAATTGCAAAATAAAAAACTCATGCACCAGAATTCGTGGACATGCGGATCATGCCCAGGTTCCCCAATAAGCAAACATGGATTCTGCTACACCGACTCCTGCAAAGGCAATGATGCCGGGTCCGTGCTTCGTATTGCGCGCTAGCCACTCAACCAAAAATGCAACATAGTACGGAAAGGTGGGTGTGCATCAACATTCAAGAAATTGCCGGTGAGGACGGCCTTGATGAGCTCGTCTGCTTTAGCTGAATGCTTGGTCAGCGAGTCTGCCAGGCAATCTTCACTTCGTAC